GCAAAAAGAACAACGGGACTATTGATATAATGAAAACGGTTAATAAAGAATGTACATAAAAAGTATCTAAATGATTAGTGCAGATTCAAATGTTATTTATGAACTTGGAGTATTAAAAAATACAGGATGTACTGGAGTATTTTCTTTCTTAAATTCCTTTTTCACTCTTTGTTTTTACTATTATAATATTAAAAAAAACTCGATAATTTCAAATCGATAATTGCATTCTGAATATAATCTCACCCAGAGAATAATTGGTTCATGAAGTATGGATGTCCAGTTTTAATGCTGTATTTGAAAACTTTATCAGCGATTTCCAAGAGATTATTCTGATTCCGTGGCCCGTCTTGCACATCAAACTTTATAATGTCCCGCAGGTGAGCCGGTTCTCTCCATCTCGATACAGGATTTTTATGGGACACGCTTTCGAAGGTGCAATCGATTAAGACCGTAAGAAGTTTCTGGAGGAACTCTTTGTGCTTTTCCACGCATGGTATACTGCGCCAATCCGACATCAAAATTACGTTTCGCGCGTAAAAGCGCTGAGAAAACGAGAAAACCGCACGAAGGAAAGAACGTACTGATCCCCTCACGGTTGACCTCTATCGTATATAAGCAGAGCACAAGGTCCTCGCAAATTCGCACAATTACACTTAACGAGGAAACAAAAGCTCGACGATCGAACTAGGAAATTAATGGGGCACATTGAACAGTTCGCATTAAGTTAAGACACATTAGTAAATTATGCAAAACAATGTTAGTGGGGAGAAGAAAAGCAACAGAGTTTTAAAGAAAAGGGTAGGAGTTATTTATTAATTACGGTTTAACATGTACAGATCGTTGCCGTAAAATTATGTACAAGGACTAGGTTGTAGAATTATATATTGTAACAACCTACACTTCAATTATTTCTTAAATGATTCGTTATACTAATGTAAGATACATAGTTATATGTACTTCTGAAATCGTAATACAATCGAACAAGTGACGATTCTTCGTGTAAAAGTAAATTGCAAATACAAAATGAAATTTTTTCATAAAGGTTCCATTTTTTAGAATCTTAAATCCAAAAACTTATTTGACTATTATGATGACTATTATTTTATTAAAATTTCTGTGTCTGTTTTTTACTTCCATCATATGCGATTGCGCAAACACGCGGTATACCGTTAATACATTGTTAACAGAGGTAGAACATTTAAATTATTACATTTAATAAATAAAAAGTTAAGGTCAAATAGAAACTGCTCATATATTTACATAAACAGAAAACTAATTAGATGAGTCATATGTACATTACACGTATGATATTATCAACATACAACTAGTCTTTGAAACCTTGTAATTCTCTTATTCCAAGAAGAATTAACTTTATGTGGGCTTGCGTTTTGGCAGCCTCTTTTCGAAAATGTGCAATCTGCTGTTGCAATAATTTGATTCGCACATTGATAACTGCTAACGCATCTTGTAAAGTAAATTCTACAAAGTTCCCTAAACCAACATCCAAGAGGATCATAGATGCATCAGGAACATGTGCTTCAATAAAAAAATTTTGTCCAACATTTACTTGGGTTTTAAAACCACTCTCATCGAAGCCATTACTCTGAATAGCAGTAATTATAGATTTCAACTGAAGAAACTCAGTAACCTCTGCATTTTTAAAGTCAAGCTTTTTCTCAATTTTAGCAAGATCTTCTTTCAGTACATCATTGACAAATGTTTCAAACTTTAGGATCTTTTGTTGAATATCAGGATTCATAATCGGAGAGGATCTATAACACACAAATTAGAAATATGCTAGAAGCTCATTACAGAATGTCAAAAAGATAAGAAATTTGTATTAAAATAAAAAAGATGAAAAAAGTGTGAAAGATATAGGTTAAGTGTACTAATCATCTTACTATCATGCATAAATTTCCACTATGTTGTTAGATTAACTTACCAGTGATATATTGAAAAGAAAATACTTTTATTGAAAACACTTCAAATCATTTATAATCTAGTAAACAAATACAATTAAAAAGAAAACGTTAATTTTTAAATGTGACGTACGCATCCCATACATCTTATAATCTTTGTTTCAACATTTTAATCAATTACAAAATAGGAATACATTTTACATTATTTTTAATATAAAAAGTGTATAACATAAATAAATCAAATACTATTAAATACACGATAATTTCAGAAGCGTATCAACAACTGCACGTTCATGAAAGTGCGCCAGATATTCTTCTAGTGACAGTTACCGAAAACTTATAACCCTTTCGATAAAGTAGGTTTCTTCAAAGAATGTACCTAAAAAAGTTTTTTGAATTCTTTGAAAATTTTAAATTGTTTGAACGCGTTAAAACAAAATATAATCGCTTTAATACAACATTTATTTCAGTTATCATTGTTTAAGAATCAAATTTATATCCCGGACGTTAAACTCAAGTTTCCAACAATTAATTTTTTTTTATTTCCAAACTCAGGAAATGATCATTTTATTTATTTCAAACAATAATCTAATGGGCAAAAATACTATCAAATAAAAGATGTACTCTACTCAAATTAATGAAAATAAACTTTCTCTTACCTAGCTTCGTAAAAATCAACAGAATTGCTTCAGAAATCATTACATTTACATTCAAGACGATTGTGGAAACAACAATTCGTAACGAATAGAAGAACTGGATGATCATAGTCAATTCTAACAATATGTATTGGGTTTAAAGAGTATATTTATGAATTCGTTAAATTATATAGTGAGAGTAACACACGACCGTTGGAGTAATTCGAAATCATTTGGATACATCGCCTCTGTTTCCATTTTCGTCAAGAAAGTCTTGCATCTTTATAGGTATAATTTTCTAACAGTAAAACAGACGTATAAAAGTTTCATTACTTATTTTAACTTGTTACATTTGCACTGAATTGCGAAGTTTGTTCGTAGAATGAATAATACCAATCGCAATAGAAAACAATAACATTTTAGTAATATTATTGTACTATAATCTTATAATTTTTCTATCTACTCTAATATTAAAAATTAGATATTAAAAGTAATAATACTAAAAATTTCTACCTATTTAATCTAAATATTAAATATAGTAGAAGAGATATAAATGAAATATTTCTGTCACTTGTATTAAAATATTTACGATAAATATTACTGTTCAATTAAATACTAATCTTTAGTTGTCCTTTTACTTTTAACATAATGTAATTTATATTTAAATCATAATGTATAGTAGTTTGGATATGTATTAAACAGGTATGTGTATTAAGACATTTAAAATCAGTCATCTTAATACTGGAGTAATTATGCGTTTCAATATCCGGGCATACGTGTATTAACGTATTTGCATTTTAATACGTGCAATTTCTAAAACATAAATACACGAATATTTAAGTATATATACTAGAGTAATGCGCAAAACATATATATCATATATATTATATATACAAATGAAAGTAACAAATTGCAACATAATTTCTCATAATAAAATTTAACTAATTCCATGTCCCATAATTAGAAATCTAGTTTTATCATCGTTAAAAAGTGTCTATCTGTTTTGAAGAGATTAAGATATTTATGTTTCCGTGAAATAAACGATTACAAAAGTAGACAATCGTCACACAACAATTACTCTCAATAACAGCAATGGTCCTACAGAATATGTATTGAAAAAATAAAAAATAAAAAATGTCCGATCGACTAGATTTGTTAGGTACTAATGTCATATAATTCATAACGAAATAATTGAAGGCAATGGGTGGTAGCAATGAACACTGGCGTACATTAACATACACTGGCGAACAATTGTCAGCTTTCACTAGTGAGAAGCATTGTCCGACTCCCAAAATCCTGGTAGTCTTCTAAACTGAGATTGTCTTTTTAATCTTTATTTCAACGATTCTCAGAAGTCTGAGAGTTTAAATAAGATATTCTCTAAGTTTAATTTTTAAAGAATTCCCTAAAATTTTATAACGAACCATAAATTGAAAGTAACATTGTGTGTTTTTCACATACATAGAAAATGCGTATCATCAAGAATGATGCAAGGATAATTTTAACTTAATAATTCATTGAAATGAATTTTCAGAATAAACTTAAAACTTGTATTTCTCTTCGAACATGTTTAATGCGTTTATTTTTGGCAATGTTCCAATAATTTAAATTATTTAAAGGAAATCGAACAATTTCAAAAAATCGCGTATCTGACAACTGACTGAAATCAGTTATTGACAGCTATATCTTCTCCACTTTTAGGAGGTATTTCTCTAAAATTCGTAGAAAATATAGTTAAAAAATATTACCATCAAAAAATTGTTTTTAATCACATTTTTACGTATCTGAATCTGTACAGTCCCTAAGAAAATTGGTCTGGTAGTCATACACGATAACTGAGCACATTTATGTTACTCTCATGTATCGATTGAACATTATCGGTAACATAATATGTTTTCCTCGAATCGTATGGAAAGAAAAGAAACATGCTAGAAGATTCTTGGCCCGTATCATTATACCATAAATTAAAATACTATTCTCAAATAAAAACGGGAGCATGTGTGCGTGTGCATACCATAATCAAGTTGCATTAAAATTTATGAAACAACCAAGACTCGTCTAATAATGCGGACTCGGCCTCCAAAGACGACCAGCCGTTACTACGCCGGTATTCCGTTAATTGGCTCGATAATTCGGTAATTTGCGAGCGTGTGGCCATGTAGTGTCGCTGGGCGACAGCACGTGATGGAAATTTATATCGTAGTAGCGCGAGGATCGCACGATACTCGCGGGCTTACCTTTGCTCAGCTGAGCGTATAATAATTCAGTCACGCGCAGATAACTATGGAACTAACAATTTAGAAAATGCCAGATCCGCGGCAAAAAAGTATTCATTTCCATATTTGACTCATGATGCCAGGATGGCGTATCGAGGCCTCTCCGTATAGCTTTCAGTGGTAGACAACCTGATTCCCAGGGGAACGAAGCGCGAAAAGGGAGAAACGAAAACTGCATTAAGAGTCGTGTAGGTAAAATGACTTTAAATAATTCGGGTATCCTCAATATTCCCGGATTAAAATCTTTATTACGGAAAGTTAGGTAATCATTAAAGTGGTAAAAGCAATTGGGAACTCGTTCGTACGAATTTCACATTATTTAAATAAACTGATACTCATTATTTAATGTAAATTATTTATCGTTCAGCGATAAGATACAAGTACAAGATATAAGTACGATATTATCTGATGTTTCAAAAAAATATTTTTGTTTGGTTGTTAATGGTTTAAAACATTAAAGTAAAATATTGTAAAATAATGGTACTCCCATGTTTCCTTTAAAACAATAGTGTATGAATGAAAAAAAACGACTAGTAATGAAGTACAACAAGCTTCAAGAACAGTTTACAATCTAATATGAATAGAACATTTAAGATCTCGTTATTTTATGAGAAAGTCGTTATTTTTATAGCTACCGTTCTCTAGGTTCTATAGTTTATTGGTGCAGCTGATATGCCAACGACAAATTATTTACAGTTTCGACATGTACATACTTCCACACATTTCGAACTTCTTATTTGTAAATTGAAAATTTAATTCGGAATAAATTATTGTCTCTAATTAAGTCAGATAAAAATTTACAAAATTTATTAAATATTACTCTAATCTGTTTTAACCCTTATTATATGATGATTTTATTAGATAATACCCGAGTCACAAGAGTCTTAAATATACGTATTTTACATTCTTCTACATTTTATCTATTTCTACTCCTTTGTTGTAACTACTATACATATTGTATTTAACAAATATCCACAAAAGGACGCTTTTAATTTAATTCATCATAAGAGAAATATTTGAAATACATTATGACTTGTCTGATAGTTTTAATGTCTAATACCTTAACAACGGATTATATATTGTTAAAATATATTATTCAATATATATAACACTGAAATATTAAAACTAATTAACATCAAATAAACATTGTTATAAAATTACAGTAAATATCTTAACATAATTCAAATGAAGATTCCCAATAAACTATCAATTATCTCGAACATATATCTGGAAAAGGAATCAGATGACTGATATATTCTGTACTAGACATGAGTTCCAGCATAATGTCAATGGTAAATTTATTGTCCTGCGTACGATAAGCTATTCTTATTTGCAGTCATGGTTCCGGAAAATTATTTTATCAATGCTTCTTTCTAGTAATTGTCTAAATACAATGATTTCGGAGTAACACTGATTGGAGAGCGACAATTTACAGGGACCGGAGGCCCTGGAGTAGCAACCGATCGTCTCACTGTTTCCAAGGTGCGCGTTATTTAACTCGCCGCTTAACGGCTTCTAAAGGATACTCTCGTGACATTTACCCTCCCTGTCGAGGTGAACGAGCGGTGTTTCTTGTAAAATTTTGCCAGCACCATAACGTGCTAGTCCAGACCAGGTAGCTTGGGTTCGATCGCCTCCGGGCCGAATTAAACCATTCACGCCCATCGAGGTCTTTGGTTACTATGCACGGCTTATACACACGACTCACTTGATGTACTTTTTTTACGTACTACACACGGACGAAGCTATAGTCGAATTCTGACTTATAGCCGACTGAATACTATGACCAATGATCGTGATAATATCGAATCGTTGCTTAGCGATTCAGGCCTGCCAATTATGATATCGAATCTAATAGTATGAAACACGCAGGCATCAAGATCTTATACCGTTTGTCGACTTTCGAAATATTAAATACCCGTTTGATGTTTCTTTGATATATTTATTACATATCTTAGCAGGGAAAATGATATTTTGTCGGTTAAACAACAGGAGTATGAAAATGATTATAAGTGAGGCTCGCTTAAATTCGACAGAAATCTGCTCGGCTAAATTCCACGGTATCAGCCCTACTCTTCCCCCACTACTCACTGTCTCGGGCTCAGTGTAGTGATCTCAGTAGACAGGGATAGAAAATGAATACAGTGAACAGAAACGGGATAGACGTAGTTCGTCGAGCATCAAGGGTCGAGGCGCGAGACTTCAAAAGCGATGCCACACACGTCAAATATACGCAACAATGGAGAAAATTTCAATTGCAGTAATTTTAACCTTACCTTCCCAAATGTAGTACCGACGGATTGCTGAAATTTGTCTGATTAAAATGAGAACAAATACGACGTGCGTCGGTCTAGTTTTATCGATTTAGAGGAAATGAACCTTTAATTTCGTTAATTACATTAAGTCGA